GGAAAGAGACTCGCCATCTGGTGGGAGATTTGGCCTGTGGTGCACGATAAAAACTTGCAGGCACAGCTTCCACCAGTGCAGCCTGCATGGGTTTTCCTGGGATGCTAAAGAAAGACACAGGTTCTAAACACACACCTGCATCTCATGCCCAGTCCTGGTAAGCAGAAGCTGAAGCCTGCCCGCAGAGGACTTGAGTGCCATCTTTGGTCCAAAACATCCAGGAAAGAGGAAGCAGAGCAGAATTAGCAGTTCCAGAAGAAAACCAGCTCACAGCATCTTTTAAGATCAATCTAGGCTGTGCCCCATCACCATCCTTCCCCATTCCCAAATAAGCAAACACCTTGTCAACTTCTTTGACTAAATATTCCTGAATCTTCAGGGGTAAACATACCAATTAAGCAGTTCAATTTAAGCATGATGTTCATTTTAATTGTGCTAATCCACCCCCACAGGGAAAGATGAAGCAGCTTCCAACGCTCTGTATCTGTTTGGATCTTGCACAGAAGCCAGAGGAAGTTGCAGGATACAGCAAGTCAGTGGTTAGCATATGCCCAAGCAGCAGATGGTGAGGATGAGTTAAGAAGAGTTTGACTAGGAGGACAGGACTGTGGACACAGCTAAGCCTAATGGTTTATCTTCAGGCTTCACTCGTGGTCTCTGCCTGTAGGCTACTTATATGTGAAGAAACAGCCTGTTTGGCAAAAATAGAGCTTCCTTGATGACAAGCTCTTCCTTGCTGACTGTGGCTGTTGAGAGGTAATCACCAGTTTGCAAGAAGATGCTGAAGTGGTTAAATAACCATTGGCAAGACAGCTACCTGCTGCTGCCAGCTTCCAATCAACACTTGGGGGAAACAAACCTACCTCAGCATATCCTTCACCTACAACTCTCCTAACATGGGTGAGTCTCGACAGTTTTACAGCAGGACCCCATGGCACAGCTATCAGAATAGCTGCTCCTGCCACCCCGAACTGAATCTTCACATAGAATCACGCAGGAAGAGAGCAGCACAGAGCCAACTGTTAGAGATCCATCCCCCTCCACCCACCTTAGCAGACCAAGGCTATGAAGACAAAAATGCAGAGCCTCTGACTCCTGCCTGTCAATAGTGAAAGGATGTGTTGACAAAGAGCCTCCTTGCCAGGACACGTGAGGCTCTGCCCCCGGCTTCCCTTCCTCCCTTGCAGATAATAGCTGCCATCTCCAAAATGCTGCACTCAGGGCAATTTCTGCTGGGCCCTGCAGCTCAGAGTCAGTGCAGGTCTCTGTACAACATGCCTAAGGATGCTCTCAAAAGCAGATTTGCTTCTTTTTGAGTTCAGTCACTTGAGTCCAGACTAAGTTCATGGTCCTTCTCTCAAGAGAGGTCCTAAACAAATCCTCACAGGAGAACCAAGACCAAGCTGTCTGGTCTTGGCTCTCTGGGGCATTCTGAGGGGAAAAGCATGAGTGAAACAGTTGGTACCAAGAAGGTTAACCCCCCACTCTCTTCTGGATTCCAAGTAGAAAGAAGGATCTTCCTCTCTGAGGGACTGAGATACAACATGCTACTGGTGTTTCAAGATCAGTAGCAGCATTTTAAAAAGGGATAAACAATTTTGTTGCATATCCCACCCCTTGGCACTGAGTTGAACACAGTATTCCCTACCTTCTGGCTGACAGGCACAGGATGATCCTCCTCGTCGCTGCCTGAAGAGTCAGAGCTCTCCACTGGCTTTGCACTTTCAGCAGGCTTTGTGGGAGCAGCAGTCCTTCCCAGTGTGGTTTTGGCCTGCTTTGGCACTGCTGGCTTTGGTGCTGGCCTCCCTTGGGAGAGTGGAAGTGTTTTTGCTGGAGTTGCTTTGCCAGAGAGAGACGCTGCTGGTGTAGGTTTCACTGGAGACGGGACGGCCTGGTTGGATTTTGGAGGTGGCTTTGTCTGGACAAGACAAACAGTGTGAAACAAGGCAAATATCACAGCAGCATAATTCATTTTGCTCACACTGTAATCAATGGAAGAGATTTCAGAGCCCCCTGGGATAGGTGAATGCTAAAGGAAGATTAGCAACTGGCAGGACACATGGCATCCTTTCATCTAGCTGTGTGGGGATAGTCTCCCAAGATGAGAAAGCAAGAGCAGGAATTCTCCATCAGCCTGTGATATTACCAGTCCCCTCCAGTGAGGTGCATTGCAGCACTTTGCACTCTCCACAGTGGGGAAGCTGAGCTGTACTTCAGTTTGACAAATTAGACACTACTTATTGTAATTTACAGCTGGGAGGCAAATTCAACCATGACAATTTGCCTCTTCAGGTGGGAAAGGAATTGCTGTGGGGTTTTTATTTAAAAGTACTGATGGATTTTTTTGTTATTATTTTTAAGAAGGGCACAATAGCTTGAGCAAAGACATCGAGGTGCCTTTAAACACCCCATGCCTCTTGCCTCCTATCCCCAGTATGATCTTGCCATACACTACATGCATTTACAATTCCTTTTTGCTGCAATTCCTAGCCCTGGAGGGGCATGCAAGGAGAGACAGAGCAGACAGACGCACTTGGGTTACTGATGGAAGTTCCTCATCTTCACTGTCGGATGAGTCGCTGCTCTCTGATGTGTCGTCGGGCTTCGCAGCCCCAGGAACCGTTGTAGGAACCGTTGTGGCTGCGGGTTTGGCCTGGGTTGGTGTCACTGCTGTTTGCCTCACTGCAATCCTCCTGAGGGACACGGAAGGTACAGGTGCACTTTTCACAGGCGCTGCATTAACCGGCACTGTTTTCACAGCTGCTTTTGCCTGGGAACAGGGGGAACAAAAGGGAATCACAATCAGTTAACATCTTAGAAGAAACCCATTGAGACCTGTAACTGCATGGAATCCGTTTAAAAGAAGGCTACCTTGCTCATTTGACCAGGACAGGCTTGTTCAGATCCACAGGCTAGGGAGCATCTGAAGTAAACCACTTTCTCCATGGATTGCCTGACTATATCTGTGCAGTTGCACACCAATCACCTCCTACAGACCAAATGATCTCCCTCAACTTCAGTCACTAAGAGGAATGGGGATGGAATGGTTGATGCTGGCAGGGGTTAGTGGGACTCTCAGCCACACAGCATGTTTCTCTGGCTTTGGAGATCTCACACACCCAGGGAAGGGGGTGTTGTCAGAATACAGCATTGCAGCATTCCCTCTCTACTTCAAGGGAAGGGAAGTGATTTCCTGGAGACAAAGAACCTGGGCTGGAGAGGTTACCTGGACCACTGGAGTTGCAAGCTCCTCCTCGGAGGACGTCTCATCACTTGATTCCTCACTGCTGCTCTCAGCAGCCCCAGCTGCCTGCTTCACCTCTGAAACACAAGCGAGGAGATGTCACAGCTGCTGCCTGCTCTGAGCTCCCTGAGCATGATGCTAATGTGGCTTTTGAAGTCAGGAAAACAAAACAAGCCACAGAGAGAGCCAAGGGGATTTGCAGGGAAGGGGGCCTAGCCCTGCTGAAAGCATCAGTGGCCTGCTGGGAACAGCTTCTCCAGGCAAACACTGGCCCACAAACACCTCCTTCAGGTGCAGGCAGAGATGGGAAATCCTTCATGGCCACCCTCTGACCCTACAGGAGCTGCCCAGCCACACACAGCTCCCTGCAGGGGCATGGTCCAGCATGGCTGGACCTCCTCTGGAAAAGAGCCAAGAGAAGGACCATTTTCAGAGCTTCTCCCAACACACATACTTCAAAGCAGTAAAAGATTTCCCTAAAGACCTCAAAACCGAAAAGCAATCACTTTACAAGTGGGAATATAGAGGAGATGCTGCAGCGCCTTTCCAAAAAGCTCAAAGCATCTGCAGTGTTAGTACTGCATCTCCTCCAGATACGCTATGCTTTTATCTCCAACCCCATAGTGCTGGGTGCTGCCAGACAGACATCTCAGCACAGAATCTGCTGCTTGAAATGGGAGCAGGCATGCTGGCTTCATCCCACAGAGCTCCGGAGCTGGCTCTTCTGCAGCATTCTCACTAGAAGCAAGTGTCGCTCTGAGCTTTCCAGCACGGGAGCTGAAAGGCACAAGCTGAAGGCACAGCTCGGACCTGATTCCATGCTGGAGCTGAAGCACACATGCATCTACCACATCCCGCTGGCTCCTTACCCACTCTGGGCGCTGGGCCCTTCACAGCCGGTGTCTCTTTTTCCTCCTCACTCTCTGATGAGGAGCTGCTGCCGCTGCTGCTGCTGCTGGAGCTTTCCGGTGCTTTGGTCGTTACTGGTGCTTTGCTTTGACCTGCTTTGGTCGTGGCTGTTGTGGGATGTCCAGGCTTCCCAGGACCAGGCAGCTTCTGCCCAGCCTTGGCTGGAGATGCAGCTGCTGCATTGGGCTGCTGTTTATTTGAGACCACAGTTCTGTCTGCAGCAGAGGGCACAGCTGCTTTGCCTGTCGGGGCAGTGGGTTTGTTGGGAGAGTGCAGGGAGTTGGTGGCAGCTTTGCCACTCACCACAGCTGGTGTCACCTACAGGGAACAGAAGAAAATCAGAAGCCTGCAGACAGATGAGGGGCTAAATTGGACACAACATTATCTTGAACAGCAATCCGGCAGCCAGGCAAGCCATAGAGCTCTTCAGGGAAGCACTTGGGGGACAGATATCTAATAGAAGGCTTGTGCCAGCATAGGAGGGTCATTTAAGTATGAATTCTATCCCAGCCCACAGTTCTACACGTGATGAGCCTGGGACAGTCCTGACCCCAGAGTACTATCAGCCTTCAAAGCCAAGAGAAGAATTGCCTTACCGCAACTGCACCTTTTCCAGCTGGTGTCTCCTCTTCTGATGAGGAGTCATCCTCTTCACTGCTTTCTACATTCACTCCCGAGTTGGTGGCCAGAGGAAGGCTGACTGCTGCACGGGAGAGAGCCACAGAGACAACCCTGTGAGTGCACCTCTCACATCAGGACAGTCTCTGGTTTGCAGGAAGGCCCCAGCAGGCAGGGCAGGGTCCCATCTCCACACCTGCCCCAGCACCATCACACTGTCCTTCAACAGGCAAGTGCTTCTCTCCTCCACCTCATCCCTCTCCCCACTACCAAGACAAGGAACCTGCCAAGACCTGCTTGTTCCCAAAGGCTGGTCTACAGCAGATGAGACTCAGCCAAAATGTGTCAGACACATGGGGTTTTGTTAGACTACACAAGCCAAATCAGGGATCCATCCCCACCTCAAGACAGAGACTTTCCAGACCAACTAATGAGTCCTTTCTTCATCCATGAAACCCAAGCCTGCCTTTGCTGGCCCACACACACCTAGGACCAACGAGAAGGTGCCCCACAGTGGGCAGTGTTAGGTTCCCAAGGCTTCATCCAAGCAACACCACCCATCCCTTCCCAGTGAATCATAACAGGTTTTTTCTAGCTCCAGCAGACATCTGTGCTCCCGAAACTTCACCTGAGAAGGGGGTGACAAATCAGTTGAACACAAGGGAATAACCATCGCTTTATGAGCATTTTCTCTATCCAAGCAAGTCAGGCTGCTCCTACACAAGCCTCTGGTCCCACTCTGTCAACTCCAGGTAGGTGAAAGGCTCCTACCATTTGCAGCTTTTGCCTTCTCTTTCTCGTCCTCTTCTTTCTCTGAGCTCTCAGAGCTGCTCACAGGATCAGGAACTCTGATCTTTTCAGGGATGGCTTCCTCATCATCACTCACCTTTCTTCTCCTGGAATTCGAGGGAGTTCTGAGGGAACAGAATTTGCATCAGAATGGGGGAAAGAAAGGTGTCTTAAAAAGAATAAAAGACAATTCTTCACCTACTCTCAGGTCAGGCTGCTATCTAAGAGCAATCAGTGTCCTTCCTCTACAGCTCCTAAGGGGGTGGGAGAGATACTTCACTAACCTGCAAGGGGACAGCTCCTGAGAGCAACATGTTCCCTGCAATACGCAGAGGTAACACTGCACGTGTTTTCTCCTCTGTCCTAGGTAGATTCTTCCTCACTTCAGCAGAGAAGGAAAAATGTGTATGGCCAGGCTGGTGCTCACCACAGAGCAAAAGCATCCTACAGGACAAATTCCTTCTCCAGGAGGCAGCTACAGCCAGTCAGTAAGTGCAGCCCCAGGGTCAGGACAGTGAGCCCCAAAGAGGTCTTGGTATGCCACAAGGCCAGGAGAAGTGAATCTGAAGACTGCAAAAGCCATTGGAACTTGGGCTCACAGGCCAAAAGGACACAAAAAGGTTGCACAGAGAATTAAGACAGAAAGTAGCTGGACCTGCGGAAGATGTGTTGGAAAAAGGGGAGGAAGAGGCCACAGGTGAGCATTAGACACTTTGGCTGTTCAACTGTGTTAAAACGTCAAGCTGGAGAAAGATGTCTCCAGGCTCTGAATCCCATCTGTATGTACCAGAACAGATGATGTGGCTGAAGTACTCTTTAATGTTCTAATTAAAACATAGGTAATGCACTTGCTTTATTACAAGGATAACAGCTGGCACACATCTGTGTGATTCACACATGCAATACTTTTAAGCGCTGACACACACAGTTACCAAAGCCCCTCACTTTGTGCCAGTTTAGTTTATTTTACTTGTTCATCCGATATGAGATTAGTTTAACAATTTGGCCAGTAAAGATTGTGCTTATTATTAGAGCGTTTTAGTAGCAGAGCTGTAACAGCAAGGTTTTTGCAAGCAGGCAAAGCCAAAGGCACATTTGCTGTTACTAAGTCCTGTTCACTACTCTAACAATTCACTACTCTAACAGGCAGCTCTGACGCTACAAACCCTTCCTGATTCAGCAGCAGGTCACAGCACAACAGGGACTACTGTGAGAATCAGTTGTGAGTGACACATGGATACTGTGTGGGGAGAAACAGCAGTGCCCGAAGACACTTGTTAGAGGGAGGGAACTGTAAAAGCCTGTTTCTACGCTGCTACATCCTCACCTGGATCCAGTCTTTCTCCTGCTCAACAAAATCATGGAGACACAAGAACTGGGGCAGCATCAAGGCACGAGGTGTTCTAGCGAAACACACCTCTGAAGCAAACACCCCCTTCCTGAGGCTGCTGACACAGCCATGCTGAGGAGCATCTTCACTCCAGTGTGGGCACAGAATCCCAGCTCCAGACAACCCGGCCCTGCGGCTGCCACCAGCGTCAGACCAAAGCCAGCGTGCACAGGGTGGGAGCAAACATCACTGCACCCCAGAGGGGAGGCTCCACGCTGCAGACCTTCACTCACTGGAATAACTACACAGGAAGGTGCTGGGCTGAACATGTAAAGGCTTGAAAGGATAGGCTTGAAACCAAGAGACTTCCTCTGAGTCAGAATATACATGACCTGTGTCAAGGTTTGGTATTTCAACATCTGCTCTAATTCCCTGTATGGGTCAATACTCCTGCAAAGCACGTGGCTTTAAAGTGAAAGTGAAACAGTACTAGGGGAAAGGATTTTTTAACTGAGCCCCACAATACTCCAGTATTAACCCCGACTGCCAAGAACAGCATCAGCTGCTCAAAACTAGAGTGTGACAACTTATCCCCAAGCTCAGGAAATTTTAAACCGAAGTAACCTTTAACATTTGAAATGAATTAATCTGAAACCAGAGGCGAGGAGGAGAATTTGCTGAGCACGGTTATCCTCAGAAGTACTCTGACAACGGGAAACTCTAGCACATAAAGCTCACATGTACCATGGAGCCTGGACGTTAACACAGCCTGGAATCTATTCCACGGGCATTTCCCTCTTCGACTTACTTTTCCCAGTGGGTAAAGATGTCCTCGAGAGACGCCGAGAGGGAAGGGAGCAGCTTCTGTGAAAGCAGAGGGGACACGAGTCAGGCACCAGCGCCGGGTCAGGATGACACCAGACAGCAGCACCCCCCGGGATAACGGCACCACGTCCTCCCC